TTCCCTCTCCTTCTCCGACCACCGTTCGTCTTCGGCAACATGTCGACACTTAGGCGTTCCGACAGCGATTACCGCGACCGACGCGAGCGAAACTCCTATAACTATTCAGACCGGCGCGACGGCGAGAGAGATCGTCGGGATCGGGACTATGACCGGGATCGGGACAGAGATCGCGACCGTGACCGCAACAGAAGTTATGATCGATCACGTTCTCGTTCTCGTTCTCGATCCAGATCACGTTCCCGTGAACGTCGAGACGTCGACAGATCCAAGCTAAATCATCACCGGGATAGGCAGGTCTTAGGCTCGCGAGAAGCTGCCCCGCGCCCCCCTCCAAGAAGCTTCTCCTCCCCCTTACAGAACGGCGGTTCAGCAGGGCTTCATGGTCGGCCGCCATGTAAGTTACTTGGTAGCGTCAACAGCAAATCACAGCTAACGATGATACCAGCACCTCGGGGACTGCCGACTGCTTCAACAACGCCAGTGTCTTCCAGACCGTCGAGCCCCAAGCTAGCCGCAGGATCTTCTCATCACGCAAAGATTACGCAAGCGCTGCAAAGCATATACCATCGAAACAAGGAGCATGTTACTATACAATTAAGAAGGGAGGTGGTCGAGACCCGGGTGAAAGAAAGGGAAAATGTTCGCAGGGCGTCCCAGCACAAGTATGCCGAGTTCCCGTCTTTGAGAGAGACCCATCGCAGGTCTGAGAAGAAAGACCAGGAGGACCTTGCTGTTTTGCGAAAAGAGGAGGAGGGCGCGCACGCGAGATCTGTGGAATCATCCGAACATCTTGCCTCCCTTATCCTTCAGGTTTATTCTGATCTTCAGCAAGAGAAGGATAAACGCGCCGTCACAACCACCAGCACAAGCAGTCTCGTGGATCGGCTTGACAACTTAGAGAAACAGCACCAAGAAGACGTCAAGGAGCTTAAAAAGGGACTCGCATTCGAGACTGCCCAGCGTAAGGCTCTGGACATCGAGAATAAGTCTCTCAAGGCCAAACTTTCAAAGTTGGAAGAAGAGGTTGAGAAAAAGCACACCTCTACCTCATCCGCGCTCACGGAACAGGCTGACTCCATCAAGCGCTTGATTCAAGCCCAGCTGAAAACCACATCTGCGCCAACACCTAACGCCGCAGCTCAGGATAAACAGGCGTCAGACATCAACCAGTGTATCGATGATATCGTGAAATTGAGGGATATTCTGGGTCGACACGATAAGCACTTGGGAGAATTAGACACCGAGATCATTACCGAAGCCTGTTCGGGATTCGTAACGAGGCTACCGCGACTAGAGAAGGAATGCGACAATCTCAAGGTGCAACAGCAAGCCGCACAGACGCTCAGAGACAGCGAACAAGATAAGCTCGCAGCTGATCTAAAGAGTCTTCGATCTCGCCTAGAGAAGCTAGAGTCAGACGCAAAACAGCACGACGAGCAGCTGCAAACCCTGCAACTGTCATCAGCACAGCATGCCACTTGCACCACAACCCTGGAGTCTTCTTGGGAGCAACTACAAGCAGACATAGCGCAACTCAAAGTGGATTCAGTCGTACACCTATCCCGTACCGCCATACTCGAATCAGCGCCTAAGGAGCTCGCCGAGCAAGTTGACGCAATGCAACAGCAGTTAAGCCAGCAAAGAGCAGAGGCGCAGAAGCCTATTTTGCAACCCCAACAGACTCTGCCGGATGCGCAACAATTTACTGCCAGCGTAAATGAGATCAAGTCGTCAATGGACGCGTTGCAAAAACAAGTTGATAAGCTTGGTTCAACGATTGGCGACACATTTGTCAAGAAAGCAACGCATGAGAAAATCAATAAGAATTTCCTCACAATGGTCGGGGGATGGATTGATGAAATACGAAAGCGTCTCATCGTGTTGGAAACTGGCAACGCCTCAAACGACGGTTGCCCGAGAGATTCGACAAGAACAAGACAAGGGTCGGAAAAGGTAGAGGCGGCGGTGCCCTCCCCTCGGCAGACAGCGGACCCTGTGATCAAAAAGCTGTCGGATCAGGTGGACATGAACGAGAAAAGCCTCAAAGCTGTCCGTGGTACGATTGACTCCATAATCGAGACCGAAAAGATACACATGGAGAGGATTCAGGACCTCGAAGAGCAGAGAGCCAAAGCCGATAAGCGGATGGATGGATTTGAGCAAGGCCTTGGGAATGTTCAATCGAAGATGGAGAAAAGGATGGAGGTTGTTGACCAGCAATATCTTTCGCTCGATTCGCAAATGAACAATTTGACGACTGAGGGATTGTATTCGGCCATCATCAGCCACCTCGACAAGGAGCAGCCTGGCGAGGCTCAGTTGGGACAAAAGGTCCAGACAATCATTAAACAAATGAGCGAGCACGAGCACAGGCTGATCAAGGTTGAGAAGTCATCGAGACTAAGCGAAGAGCCTGCAAGGAAGAGGCAGAAGTTAAGTCCCAACGGCCACGAGCTGGCGTACCTTACCAACGGCAATTATTAATTATCGAAGATGACGGCGCAAATTCTTTCTATGAGATACCATGGACGGCGCATTGGAATGGTCGAGATACCACAGAGGTCAGAAGCAAAAGTGCATTCACCAGCGCGACGCAAACTTCACTAGGTAGCCCTTCAGTTGTTCTCAGGGTTAGGGTAATCCAGCATGCCTAGGAAAACAACAAAAAGGTTCACTTAAGCATTACAAACATTAAATGACATTAAAAATAATTGAAGTGAAATCTGGTTAGAAATGTTCGCCTTGCTGACTTGTTCTATAGATAACGCAAAAAGAAGTAGAACGTTGTGTAGAACTCAGATGGTGTAACGATTTAAGTTCAGATAGAATCGTATTTGACCACCTTGGTTGTAGTTTCTACGTTACCGTCACTCGTGCTTTATCTAAGGTAAACGCCTATTGATTTGCCTTTCTACTGGCCCTTACAGCGGGCACCAGCTGCCGCAGACTGGCATGCATCTGACAGGTGTAGCTATCTCGAGTAATTAGGTAAGTGTCCATCTCCCATCAGCGAGAGCTTAGGCCGGGGCGCGCCGCGATTACCTGAAGCTACCTTACCTCCCTACCTACCTAGGTAGTGGAGGTGAGGTACCTAAGGTAAGAACTGGGCAGCCCCAGACCAGAACACCGGCCATCTGCGCAGGCCGCCGCCTGCTAAGGCAAGAACCACCATATCGGGCATTTTCCAGCACCTGCGACTCCCGTCCCTGAAGTGTGTTTCCTCCGAAGAGGAACCTTGAGGTCTTGCATCTGTCAATCCCAAAGCTCAGGATTGGTGCGTGCCCTGGCGGTGGCCTACCTATATGTGCACCTCTCAGGCGCACCTCAGCAGCTGGGCGGCCCGAATTAACAACGAAACTCGCTGAGGTGTCGTGTAATTGAAGCCCCAGATGGCGAGCAGACGAGGAGCACGCGCCTGGGCTCACGTAAAATTCCCCGGCAGTCACCACCCACTGGTTGTGTGGCCCACACCAGCACCTCACGCCTGGGGCCTGGGCTCCATTAAGCCAAGTTGGTAGGTGAGGTGAGGTAAGGTACCTAAGGTGCTAAGGTAAGGAGCCTCGTGCTGTGAAGCTCATTCCAGTAAGGCGGTGTCTACTCCACTGTGCAGCAACTCCCGTGCTCCCTCACGCATCATCTGCGTGCCTTCCCTCAACGTGCCAACCTTGGGCTTTTGGTGGTGCGGTATCCGTCAGGTAGCGCGTGTCTTGCCTTGCTCTCCCCCCCATCTCCTCCCATCCTTACCTCTCACCTTACCTTATCGCACACCTAAACTTTGCCTAACCTGACCTGACCTGACCTGGCCTGGGTGTGTCTACCTTGCCTACCTAGGTACCTAACTTACCGGCCCTCACCGACGCGCCAACGGACTGCTACCGGTGACCAGGCTCGCACTTTGCACATCGGACTGGGTCTGGCTCTCTCCCCCCTTCTCACTCCCATTGGCACTGGCGCTTGCTCCTACTGGGCTGCTGGAACGGATACTCGCTCTGGCACTGGACCGCACCGTCCGTCTCCTCTCCCGTCCACCATTCCCCGACCCGACTCTGACCCTTCAATACCACCTACCTTGACCCTTGTCCCCCGTATCATCGACCTGCGGCACGTCGTCCCGTCCTCTACCCCGTCTGGATCCGGCGCAACTGCTGGGACACACTCTTGCACACCTCGCACCGACTCATCTCGCGTCCATTGACCAGACCTATCTTGTCTTGCTCTCCTCAAGGTCCGCGTCGCTGAGCTTCGCTTCGCCTCGCATCGCATCATTGCAGCAGCAGGCCACGCTGGGAAATGCGCTGCGGGTCATCTGAGCTGCTGCCGCTGCTGCAAGGGCTGATGTTTGGAGCCTGCATACACCACTGCCACGACAACCATCTCCACCAAAAGAAGACGAACCACGTCCTGAATCACAACCGCAACCACGGCGAACTCGATACGAGAACCGACCCCCCGACTTCCTCCACGAGCCCCCGCGACGCCTAATCCTCGACGACGCGACTCTTCCATCGCCGCACTCAACTTCCCCTCGCTAGATGATTTCCATTTGATGCCACCCCATCTGGTCGCGTCTTGTCGATTCTGAAGCATCCCGCCCTCGATTCCTCCCAGATAACCCCGGTACCGCCAACACTCACGTCACGCTATCACGACATTTCCTTCTCAGCGCCCAACCCGGCCACACCATCACAATCGCCATAATCGTCGGCGCTGATTGCCGCCGATTTGAATATTTTCCCTCGTGGGCTACGGAGAGGGCTTGAGTGCTCTGCTCCGGCGCCCATTCATTCTCCTTCGTCGTCGTCCATCTACTTCGCATTGGCCGCTGCCATCGCGACCCTTTGTTGTTCGACCTCAACCTGAACATCGCCCTCCAACCATCACATCTCGCATTCCGCCATCGCATCGCTCTTTTCCTCTGCCTAACCTTGCGCTTGTGGCCGCGCATATCGCGATCCCTTTTTCTTCATGCCCCCCCGGCATGCAAACGCCCCCAAACAATGGAAGCAGCGGCGAAGAAGGTCCAACTGCTGGCCCAGCGCATTCTGCCCGATCGACCGCACCACCTCTCTATCACTCCTGACCAACGCTATCGCGTCCCGCCGGATCAAAGCAAGGTCTTCGAGGAGTTCAAATACCAACGCCTGCAGTACATGACCCTGCTGTCCGACGCTGATCGCGGCATGTTACTCACCCGTCCATACTATGACATGCGCGAGGAACCTCCGAATCCAATCGCCGCCAAGGAGTCGAACGTGAAAATGGAAAAAAAGACAGTGACCAAGCTGTCGCTGAGTGATTACAAGAATAAACAGAAGAAGGCATCTGCGTCACCCACCGACTCGGGAACCCCCAAGACAGACGCCTCTAGGAGAGAGGCAGCGGACGGTCGAAACGACCGCGAACCAAAGAAGACCGACGCCAACAGGGTACGAGATTCAGAAGCATCGAAGGACTCAAAGGCGCATAAGTCGCGCGATGTTCCTAATGACGACAGGTGCGATCGCGATAGAACTGTACTTTCCTATTTGACATGGCGCTAACGACACCAATTAGATCAAGTAGAACTGAGGCAAGGTCTAGGCCAACGCAGGAGAGCAGTGATACCCCAGAGAAGCGGAAACGAGTCCACGATACCGACGGCGATCTGCGACCTCAAAAACGAGCGCGACCCGAAGCCAGCACCCCGCTTGACGATCGATCGCGAACGCCCCGAGATGATACCCCGAAGAGAAGAGAGTTGCACACCTCCCTGGATAGGACACCGCAGAAGGACAGCAAGTCGAGCGCGGCCTCGTCGTCTTTACCAAATGGGAGGTCCGCTCTTAAGGTGGCATTGGGCTCAGGTGCCAACAAGTCGCCAGTATCACGCGCCAGGGGCGATTCCATCAATGGCAACAGGCCGAGCCCCTCTCTAAGCGGCAAGAGCAAGACAGATCCGTCATCAAGGAGTGCAATGCCGCCGCTACTTTCACCCCTCCACCTGCCGAACGATTCGGACTCTCACCCCAAAGATAAAAAGAGACGCGATGACAATGGCGAGCCAAACAGACCACCAAAGCCTTCGAGGGCAGAGCCACCGCCGCCGCCTCCACCTAAAAGACAAAAATCTCCCGTCAGGCTGCCGGCGCTTCTGTCTCCCACATTACCGCCCGCGGTCGAGGAGGAACTGGCCCGGATGAAGAAGACACCGACTAAGGGATCAACACCAAGCCAGAAACTACATCCACCAGAGTCGCCTACCAGCAACAAGAGACCGCCTGTAATTGTTAAGGACGAGGAGGAAGATCGGAAAGATGTTAAGGACAAGATCAAGGAGAAACCACGCAACAGGTTTATGGTGACTCTTAGGTATCCAAGGAAGATCTCCAAGACGGTTCAGAGACTGCTGGCTCTTCCGCCCAAGAAGGACGCGATTAAGAAAGAGCGATCTGTGAGCATAGAGCCCCCAGCACCGCCCCAGGCAAGGAAAAGACCCATCGGAAGCACGGAGAATATTGGCGACTCGATTGCCGTCAAACGGCCAAGGACGTCTGAGGTCTCTAGCTCCAAGCTTGTTACCCCCTCAACTCCCTCGAAAGCCGCGACGTCAATGTCAAGGGTAGCATCGAGCAACTCGGTAAACACTCCTGGCGACGGCAGCGGCCATACTCCCGCAGCTCCGCCTTCAGCAGACCGAGACCGACCGCAAACGAGGGATGTCAGGGAACCGTATAACCCCCTGAAGATACAAGCGCTGCGCGAACGATATGCACGGTTTAGCAAGCTCGGAACGAAGTTGAAGCATGATCGCGATATGTTGCTGGAGCGGAAAAATGACCGAAGTGGGCATAGCTCAGACTCAGACAGCAAGCTGGGCGTCATCTTGGGTCTCGAGACGGCTCTGGCTTTCATGATCGGCTTCAGGGCGGTGGTGGACGCGCGCTCAATAGAGAGCAAGGCCCAAGACCCGAAGCAATGGGGCAGTATCTTGCCGGTGCTCAACGTCATGAGACCGGAGCTGCGCAGGAGCGGACCATTAGAGGCTTTGTTCTGGCAGATCCAGGGCGTGATCCATGAGGAGCTCCTCAGGTGTTACTGGTCCATCGACCCAAGCCCACACGCGGTAGCTATCATTGGTCACGAACGAGGTCGCTCGAATGCATGGAAGTCGGCGCAGGACTTTGCTGAGCGGGTCGAGGACAGCGCGATGCGTGCAAACATGGGTCCGTGGACTACAGTGGAGGAAGCCGTCTCGTCGGCGCTGAGGATCATGCGGCGCTGGGCTCATCAGGAACACGTGTCGTGGCGCGCCGAGGTCACAGTCTCAGCGGCCAACGGAACATCATAGCATGCCGGCGGAGATGCTGGTCCGTTCAAGACCCGGGCGGTCGCCGATTCCTCCCTTACGCTCACGGACGGCTCGATTCGAAGCCAAGAACCCCAGAACAAAGCAAGAAGAAGGGCATTAGGGCCCTCCTAATGAACATGTATTATGAACTCCTTTCCTTTCCCGTTTCCCTCATCATCTCTGTATGGTCAGCGTGGCGGTTAGGCTCGGCAACGGCGTTTTCAAGTCACAGGTGGGAAATCGTTGGGGGGTGAAGGAAGAGATCGCTTTCTTTTCCCCCGCGCGCGTGTTTGTGCAGTCTTGTATGACATGACCTTTCTATCACATCCCCAGAGCAGCTCACCAGTAGCCTGGCACGGTTCACAATTCCTTTTTTTTTTCTTCCGTTTTCGTCACTCAAAACTCTCATCGGTATCGGTATCACTACCACCAACACCACCTCCCTCTTGGCTGTTCTCTTTTTTCTCCTTCTTTGGTGTGTCACTCTCAAGCTTGGCGTTCTACGGGAAAACCAGGGCTGTGTGTATGGCTTTTTGTACATAAAAGATATCCCCCCCTGTGTGTCGTTTGTTTATTCGTTTTTCTTTCCTTTTTCATCTCGGTCAGTGGGCGGAGGGGGTCGGCAGCATCAGGTGTGTGTATGTGTGTCCTGCGTCGAGGACCTAAGGAATGACGCAGAGGAATTCTCTGATTCAGCTTGGTATTTCACACTTTGCAAAAAAGAAGACGATGACAGCTCGCGAGGATACTCCAGTGTAGATCTCTCGGAACCAAATGCGAAGAATTCCAAAAGAAAAGATTGCAAAAGTAGAAGATGGTGAACATAATGATGTGACAGCAGTGCGGCAGTGTCGATCTCGATCTGGGTCTGGCATCCGCAGAACGGCCGCCAGAGTGACCCCGCAACCCCTCACCCATCAGCGGAACACCGCGTACTACCGACCGTCACGCATGATCTGACCGATAAGACTGATACCGTACACGTCCGGCGGCCGCTACTACCCACGCGCGTGGGCAGGAAACAAGACAGCACGACATCACTTTGCGATAGGGGGAACCTTTTGTGATGGGTAGGCATGATCTATTTCATAGACGTCATAAGGACATGTAGTTTGGGAGTTTTTGTTTTTAGGAAAAGACACAACCATAATCCTTCCCGGCCTCTCGAGACTCTGCGTCATCGTTGCCCTCCCGTCTGAAAGACTGCCCATCTTCCGATTTTACTGCTTTTGATGGTCGTTTCTTTATTTCATTAAAAGACCATTTCGGTCTTGGTACTTCTCATCAACATCCTCCGATGCTCAGCACATTTACTTGGAGGCATCGACCTTGGCGACGTGGGCCAGGAGGTCGAGGACACGGCGGGAGTAACCCCACTCGTTGTCGTACCAGGAGACGAGCTTGACGAAGTTGTTGTTCAGGGAGATACCGGCCTTGGCGTCGAAGATGGAGGAGTTGGGGTTGCCGATCATGTCGGTGGAGACGACATCGTCTTCAGTGTAGGCCAGGACGCCCTTGAGGGGACCCTCAGCGGCCTCCTTGATGGCCTGCTTGATCTCGTCGTAGCTGGCACCCTTCTCAATGCGGGCAGTCAGGTCAACGACGGAGACGTTGGCAGTGGGAACACGCATGGACATGCCGGTGAGCTTGCCGTTGAGCTCAGGGATGACCTTGCCGACAGCCTTGGCGGCACCAGTGCTGCTGGGAATGATGTTCTGAGCAGCGGTACGGCCACCACGCCAGTCCTTGGCGGAGGGACCGTCAACGGTCTTCTGAGTAGCAGTGTAGGAGTGGACGGTAGTCATGAGACCCTCAACGATGCCGAACTTGTCGTTGATGACCTTGGCGAGGGGAGCCAAGCAGTTGGTGGTGCAAGAAGCGTTGGAGATGACGTCGGCGCTGCCGTCGTAGGACTTCTCGTTGACACCCATCACGTACATGGGGGCATCGGCGGAGGGAGCAGAGATGATGACCTTCTTGGCACCGCCCTGAAGATGGGCCTTGGCCTTGTCGGTGGTGGTGAAGACACCAGTGGACTCGACGACGTACTCGGCGCCGGTCTCCTTCCAGGGGATGGCAGCGGGGTCACGCTCGGTGTAGAACTTGACGGTCTTGCCGTTGATGACAAGGTCGTTGCCCTCCTGCTTGATCTCGCCGTTGAAGATGCCGTGGGTGGAGTCGTACTTGAGCATGTAGGCCTGTGAAGAGCGAGTCAGTAAATGTGACAGATGGTGCTGATATGAGTGATAGCATGTGTGCGGCCGTCCCGACCCATGATTTCAATTGGCATTAATTCATGATGGCCTTCTTGTGTACTAAACGCGGGCGGCGAAAGCGGATGACAGCGGTAGTGGTGGTGATGGATGTGAAGTCATGTCGAGCTTGGAGGGGTAGGTGGGGTGATACTCACAGCGTACTTGGTCTCAATGAAGGGGTCGTTGACGGCAACGATCTCGACCTCGGGGTGCTCGATGGCGTTGCGGAAGACGATACGTCCAATGCGGCCGAAGCCGTTGATGCCGACCTTGATGGGAGCCATGTTGTCTGTTTAGGTGTGTATAAGAAAAGTGTCTGTAAAGATGACGAGAGTCAGTCAGATTTCTGCGACGACGATTGTGATATGACGAAGTTTGCGGCGATGGCGGGGTTGGTTGTCGAGGGGCAGAGTGGGGTTGTAGAAGCTGTGTACAGCTCTTGGAGCTATGGATGGAGCTGGTGCTCACCTTGTTTAGGTATCACGTCGGTTTGACGAGATCAGAGATGGATCGAGGTGTGGAAGAGATTTTCAATGGCAGAAGAAGAGAGAGAGGGACGGAATGGACGGAGGTGGAAGGGCGCGCGAGATCCTTTTGTAAATTTGGTTGAGGGAAGATGGTGGGGTGGTCTTTCCAACGCAACGCCAATGCCCACGCCCATGTCCACGCCCACGCCGTGCAGTGGCCCAGGCCAAGAAAGAGGGACCCGACTAAAGCAACCTGAGATGGAGAGGTAGGAAGTGCACCTTGCACCTCACACACCTCACTCACCTCGCCAGCAGCAGCACCACCACCACCACCAGCCTCAATGCGGGTGCGGACTTGACGCAAGTTAGGGAGGTACCAGGTAGGGGCACTCCGCAGGGGTGACTCCCAGTATCGCCGGTGCAGGCGACGGGATGGTTGAGATGGGCGATTGCCCGGTCGACGCCGGGTGAGCTGGTGAGTGACACACACTTTTTGGCAACAGGCAAGCTCCTCCCGTAACGCGTGTCTCGTACTTTCCCATGTCGTGCCTTCTCATCCACTCCTTCCAAGCAGGTGTGCGTCTTTTTACAGCCAAGGCGGGGCATCAAGCGGGAAGGCGCTGCTGCCATTTTTGAGTGTCGATGCGTTAGCCGGAAACCTGACACCCTCCGGGTGCTTGGTATAGCTTGCCAGTGTCATTTTGCCAATGCCAATCAGTGGAATCATTACATCTAATGTCGGCATCCATCATCTTGCCATCCGACCTCCGTATAACCAAAAGACAGGGAGGGTACTTCAAAACACACAGCACAGGTGCGGCGGCGGCGGTAGGATGGTGTTGACGGCGACTGTGGCGGCCCCTACCTTCTCACCACTTATTTTGACACCTCAACTACATCCCGTATTGTCCGAGCTCCATGTCTCCTCCATCAAACATCTCATGATGAACGACTAAGCAATGGTTTGTTTCTCCTGAATCCTGATCTATCGTATCCTCCCTCGCCTCATTCCCCGGCGGGGCGCTGTGGTGGTGTCACTTCTTCTTCACCGGACCGACGACTCGAGCAGGCCAGCATTGTCAGGATCAGGACGGTCGGTAGTCGTCTACCTCTCGCAAGGAGGGGCAATGGAGGGGCACGCCGCAGCTTCCCTGGGTTTCCAGCGAGAAAAAAAGTCAGCTCCGGCACCTTATCCTTGGCCCCCTGCTGGGCGTTGCTGGCCTGCCCCTCGTTACATCAGCTCGCAGCTACCCCCCCTGGTCGACATCAACAATGTCCGACACCACTGCCACCATGCACAATGGCCCACGCCAAAGCTTTGGCGCCTTTTGTGATCCTCTCACCGTTCCAGTTTTTGAGGGTCGCTTCTTTTTATTGTCATTCTCAACTGGATTCAAGACACGACATGCCACAGGGTTCAAACAGCTCACCTCTCACCATCTCGCCAATCCTCCCAGACGCCCCTAGCACCAAACACCATGCATCACGCATCCCTGCCTCCGGCTTTTTTTGACCTTCGCCGACAGCGACCTGACCTGAGAAAGAAAAAAATCGACAGCTCCATAAATCACTCACTGCTCCATATTGTCACTCAACCCGCCAAGCTTGACTGAGCCCAGCTAATGAAACGCCTTGCCTGGTCCATGAGGCACTTCCTCGACTCGGCCGATTTTAGCTCATCATAGATAATGGTCGAGAAGGGCCGTTTAACGCTCCGTTCTCGGTCATCCAATATGGACCGCTCCTGATTTGGATCCGACTTCCGCTCCCTTGTCTGTGTTGGAACATGTTGGAACCATGTGCACAAAAATACACATCCACCGCTGCTGCAATTCCATTTCTGGGTACTGATACGCCATCGCCAACTTGGTGTACATGCGAGGTACATCGAATCAGTTCAGTCCTGTTGCCATTCGGGCCTTGGCCTGCCGCTTGATTGCAAACCCGGTCCATCAAAACAGGGCTGGGGCCATTCCGGCTCTGGTGGGGTCCGAGATCTGCTCACGACTCCCCCAACCCAATGAGCTAACAAGCCAGAACGCCTGGCCCGAAGCGCCGGAGCATCACGGCTTCATCGGCCCCCAGAGCTCCTGGCTTCGCCTATGTCGTCTTGCAACTCCCGAATATATCGGGACTGACGATGGTCGCTACCGAGGATACCCGTCGACGTCAATGCCGCGGTCTTCGTGTTTGCCGCCGGTCCCTCTGACGCCCGCCAGCTGGCGGCGCCAGGGCCAAGATTGGATCATTTTGCATGGTCTGAACATCGATCGACCTGGCATGATATGACTCTACCGTCACTTTCCCTCCACCAACGACACGTACGATATGTACCCCTGAGGAGCATCCTGGTCCTTTCTGTGTACAGTAAACAAGGTGGTTGAGCCGCTCGGCCAAATTGTTTAGCTAGCTTCCTCATAAGCCTGCTAGAGCTGTCCAGAATCAGACGAGCAGATTTTGTCAGATCATCAGACTCTTCACTGCTTACATTTGCCTCTGGCTTACACACTTGACATGTCAAGGGCGCAGGCTGTGCGGTCACCCATGAAACTTGCGATATGCCACTGCTCATCTGGCCGTGCTCCCACGGCCTCGATAGGGACGTCGTTGTCTTCCAAGTCCACCTTTACCAGGGTGCGTTCGACTTACATGGAGCACGGCTACGGGAACGTAGTCGTCCAAGCATCGAGCTGGCCCCGTTTGCCGCCAGCCGCCCCGGAATGATGCGCCCTCGTCGAGGTTCGACCCGACCTACCCCAGATTTCCGCTCCGGTTCCGGTTCCTCCCGACCGCTGCCCCGATGCCATACATTAAGCTACCGTTTGCCGAGCCGGGGTACAGGAGCGCGTGCCTGGAGATCTGGAACCTCGTCTCATCTAGCAGCAATTAGCCTCAGAGACTCTTCAACGACCTGGGGTTCGTGTCCAATCCAGTGGGTCGCTTGGCAGCCGCGGCTGGACAACCGGGACGTTGCGGGCGTGTAAGTCGGGAACGTCGTCAGCGCTGGCAGCTTGGTCCAGCAAATCGCAATCCACCTTCCGGCTTGCATAATCAGTGGGCTCTCCTTCTTGCGGTTACCGCGGGAGGCCTCGTGCCTGAGTGACAGCGGCATCACGAATGGAACTCGGGATCTATCATGATCCTGCTTGAGGACGGGTAGCCTGGCGGAGCTCAATTCGACTATGCTCATTGGTCAGAAATATGCTTGAGGCGTGTATGTTCAACCGTGTGACCATGATATCTGCGCCCCTTACGCTGGGAAAAGTAATCTAGATGAGATCTCAAGGTCAAGTATTTCGAGGTCTACGTCTCGGTGAGCGGTGTTCACCTCAGGTGGACCCGACTTACACCGAGACACCCTACACCGGTGGTGTTCGGCTTTGGTGTGGTAAACTTGACGTAAAACAGGCCGATGACGTCGGCCCAAGTCGGGATTACTAATGTGCACAAGTTGTGCAGTTATGCAGCACCAAAAGCAGACAATTGCTGACCACCAAAAGTGCAGCCTGCCGCCATTGAACCCCCACGGTCCCCCACGACCAGCTTATCGCCGCAACTTCACCTTGAGAACTTCGGCGAAAAGCTCGTTGTCGACGACACTCGACTCTCACTTGAAGACTTAAGGCCGCACTACAATTCGGACATCACGACCTTACAAACAGTTGTCGACTGGACAATTCGTCTTACCAAGCCATCGCTTACTCATTCCCAAAGAAGCTGCTGTTTACACGGGTGAGATTTCATCCGTCTCGGGGAAATTGAATGGAGCATTGCGATTCAGGATGACCAAGTGGTCAAAACAGTTACCGTAAACAGCGACTTCAGAGCCGCAAGGTCGTCTGCTTATCCACAATGTGTGTTAACAATCCCTCCGAATGGTGTCATCTTGAATGCCATCCGCCGAGTTGCAAATGATGGAGTGGAGTACGATGCTGGGCCTACGGGGTCGCCGTCAAGGTCCTAGACTGCGAATCATCATGAAGTGAGATGGTGCTTATGACTCGCAAGGCATTGCTTGAACAGTATATAACGAAACTCGAAGTCGGGCAGAACAACTGAGATGATATCCAAGAACACAGATCCAACAACGAATTACGAAGCTAACTCACACAACCAAACGCAAATACCTACATCGCAATGACATCCAACCAGACACTTCTAGTGACCGGCGCCAACGGTTACATTGGCACCCACGTGGTCGGTCTCGCCCTCGAGCGCGGCTACAAGGTTCGCGCCACGGCCCGATCCGAATCCTCCTTCGCCAACCTCCGCTCAACCTTCCCGGAAGCCGCCTCGTCAGACCGCCTCACCTTCGCCATCGTCCCGGACATCACCAAGCACGAGTCCTACAAGGACGCCCTCGCCGGCGTGACTGGCATCGTCCACACAGCGTCCCCTTTCATCGTCGACCCCAAGGACAACGAGGTCGACCTCCTCCAACCTGCCATCAACGGCTCCGTCGCCATCCTCGAGGCCGCGAAGCAGTATGGCGCCCAAGTGAAGAGCATCGCCAACGTCTCGTCGTTCGCGTCCGTCATCGACCTGTCACAGGGCTACCGCGCGGGATATGTCTACACCGAGAAGGACTGGAATCCCATGACGTACGAGGAGGCGGCCAAGACAGACAGCGGCGTGGCGGCGTACTGTGCTTCGAAGGGACTCGCTGAGAGCGCGATGTGGAAGTGGATGGGCGAGAATAAGGAAGCCACCTTTACCCTGGCCAACATCTGCCCTCCCTGGGTGTTCGGTCCCTATCTGGGCAAGCTCGACCTCAACCGGCTGGCGACGTCGGTCGGTCTCTTGTGGAAGCTGGTCGG